GCTCAACTGCCTGCAGTTGACATGCAGAAAGTCCCAGGAAGCTTCTGTTGTTACTCCAACCATTCTCCAAAAGTGATGCAACCAATCTTTGATGCACAGTTGCTGTGCATACTGCACAGTGACTGTGTCAAAACATCTACATATCCAAACATGTGGAGTTTGGATGGCAGCTTGGCTAGAGCATGCTGCATGTTAACTGCATGCAGTTGAGCAATTTTGTTTTGAAGTGCTGCCTAATTGAAATATGTTCATGTTTTCTGGACTTGTGAACGTCAATATGGAAAAGTACAGTTTCACATTTGCAAGACAAGGGGTTTGTAAAAAAGGGAAACTCTGGCAAGTGTTTGTCCTTGGCTTTTGTTTCTTGTCATAGCAAAGCTGCACATGATTGGGAATTTCTTTCTGTAAAATGAAACCTTTACCATAGGTTCTCTGGAATAATGTCAAAGAATTCTGCACAGCACCCCCTCTTTACCAGTGAGGGGGCCTGTCATGATCTGGCCAACAAGTACACATTTGGAGGCTTTTGTGATTATCAATCTGGTTCTGTTGGATAATCCCTCTGTTATTCTGAGGTTCCTGAGTCACATCATGGCCATTCTGGCAAGGTACAAGTTAGTGTGCTACCATGCTGTATCACCTCAGTATAACCATGAACACTACTTCCCAACAACCATGGCCACCACAAGTGTCTGTAGCCTAGTTGGTTAAGGCAGCACTCTATTATGTGTCTCAGCATTGCTGAGGTCATGGGTTTGAGTCCCACCAGACACATCTTCATTTTCACAGTCTTTACACATTCTAACTTATCTTGAGGTTATGGCATGGAAAACCAGGAAATTGAGCTGATTAAGGCTTTTGGCTTGCAATAAGTCTAATGCTTGATCATCAGGTGTGTCCAATGATTCAGAAAAAAATTATTTTGTTGATAAGCTTTGGTATACGGAGGAGTTAATGCATTCAGTGTTCTGATTTAATGGTGCTAAGGTAGCTCTACTCAATAAATACTTGGCATAGTGTGGCTATCCTTTAGCTGCTTCTGTACCAATGCCGGTGTATATTGACAAAATAGCTGCCTCATCAAGATTGGCCCTTGACTTGATGGCATTTATGGAGATGGTTTGTAGATAAAAATTTCTGTATCAGAGCATTGAAGTTGTCATTCTACAAGTTTCAGTAAACATAGATGAAGGTTGATTTTCACACAATCCTGAATTGGAAGCGCCAAGTCGCAAGTGCATGCTACTTGCAAGCCCAAGTTTGTCCAAAATGGGCCATAAATACGCAGATTTTAGTTTTGCTTTCCAAGATTTGGGATAGGCATTGTGGAGTCTTTATAGGCAAGGCGGCAGCTGTGGGTCTCAGCAGTAGCTGCCGCTGACAGCATGGTACACACGGAAAGCTGAGGCAGAACAAAGTAAACAAAGGAAAGTATCTTCAGGAATTTTGTTAGGCTGAGCGGATTATATTTTGCTTTTGTCGGCCAGAATAAGCAAACTTTTGTTAGCGGCAGAAAGTGCGGGAGGGGAGTGAAAGGGTGGGGGGG